CCACCTGAATTTCAGAATCATCTCAGGAACAGGTTTGAGGCCTTGAACAGTCTTCCATATAGGAAGCAGAACTTTTTTTTGTTCAATTCTCCGTGTTCCTCTTTTCCTTTTCCTTTCCTCAAGAGAAACTACTTTCACAAAGTAATGTATTTTACATTAAGACAATACAACTTAGATTTGGAGCATGGGCTTGAGAGAATTTTTATAGCTTAAAAATGTCAAACATAGGGTATGATACAATATGGGTTGTTATATAAAGTTTTTGTTCAAATAGTGTCTTGAGGTCTTTGATCCTCTCATCTTACAGCTTTGTTTTCTCTTTTTATTGTGGAGCCTACTGTTTTCTCATTCTCATTCTTCACTGCCCAATGCCATACCTAGCACGTGATACTCTTGCAGATTTAAATTGATGTGACTGTCACTGACTAGTTTTATTGATGTTTTCATGTACCGATTATTTCCCCACAGCTGTCTTCTGTACAGGTGGAAGAGATGGCAATATTATGGTCTGGGATACCAGGTGCAACAAAAAAGGTAGCCTATGTTTGCATTTTGCCAGACATACAATAACCCCATCCCTACTTGACCACCAGGGGGCACATGTGTTCACAGAGAACAAAAAGCAAACCCAGAGAGTTATCATTCACAAGCTCTCATTGTTGACCACTCTTCTAAGTCTCTGAATGTTGGTGGTGATAGCAAGTATTACCCTCACATATTTATCTCATATTATATTTTGGTTTATCATACCATTTACCTACATTATTTAAATTTTTTTCCACATTTAATTTTAAATTCGTTTGGGACTTTGAAGAATTTAATTTAGTCACATTGCCCATACCATTGAACAGATAAATCTCCTTACTTACTGTCTTTTTGCTCATTATAATCTCCAACAGGATATAAAGTATAGCTGGTGCTATTGATTTCTAATTCACTAATCACAAATCAATTTATTGTGAGAATTTATGTACAAATGTTACAATGACCATAGAATCAAAAGGTCACAAATGTAAATTGGGTGTTTTGGACTGTCTTCCAGATGGATTTTATAGGCAAGTGAATCAAATCAGTGGAGCTCACAATACTTTAGACAAGCAAACTCCTTCAAAACCCAAGAAGAAACAGAATTCAAAAGGGCTTGCTCCTTCGGTGGTAAGAGAGTTCTGGGTGTAAATGTGTGGGGGGGGTCGTAACATAAAGAATCTTGTTTCAAAGAATTTGGGTCATAAAATAAAAACTGAATTAATTGAGTATTGCTCTTCTTTGCTGTTGGTGTCAGTGTTTATTGCTTCTTATTTAGTACCTATAGTTCTGTTACTGTTGAGTCAGTTCTGACTTATAGCATCTCTGTAAAACGGAGTCGAATTGCCCCATGGTTTATTATCTTGGAGCTCTGGTGCTGTGGACCATAGCATGTTAATGCTGCTGTCTAAAAGGCTAGCAGGTATGCTGACCTTCAGTGCTTAGCGTCCACTGGTGGCTCATTGGGAGAAAGGTGAGTAGGCTCCTTCTGTTGACGTGCACGGCCCCAGGAGCCTGATGGAGGAGGGTGTGAACTGGAATCGATTTGATGGCACTGGGTTTGAGTTTTTTAAATCATTCTAGAAGCAGACTGCCACATTTTTTTCCCAAGAGAAATGCTGGGTGAATTTAAACCACTATCTTTTTGATTAGTAGCCTGTTGTTTTAACCACAGTACCACTAGGGCCTCTTCATACCGTGGTGATGATTCTCACATTTTAAAGCATATTAGGATCACTTGGGTAGTGTGTTAAAAAGCTGCTGTTTCCAGGGCCTCGTTGATAGAGATCTGATTTAGTTGGCCTTTGCAAGGGGG